CTCTCTCTCATCTTCGACTTCTGGCGAACGATCCACCCTGCCAGAACCCAGTCGCCTCGTCCTGTTCGTTTTCTACGGCGTTGCTCGATTAACCCAAGACAAGATCGGGTTCTGGTACGATCACGAAACTCATTTGTTCCTTTATATCGTCTGCACACTCTCCTTCCCTCTTTTTCTCCCCTTTATCTACCCTCTCTCCACCTCTCTCGTACGGCCGTGCATTACTTACGTCCGTTTAGATCCCTCTACCTGCTTGAACCTTGTTTCACCACCTAATCTAAGCTTAGAATCTTTCGAGGAATATTGCGATTATGCGTTCGTGGAAACTGTTATTGACATGAACTGCGCGCGCGCGCGCGCATACCGGACGCAGACACGAATTTCACGCGCCTCCTACGAAGCGGAATCTTGAACTTTGGTCGGGCTTAATCTGATTGTAGTAGGGCAAACGTCGATTTCAGCCAGGCGAGCCTTCGAGAAGGAGGGATAAGAGATGAATTTCTCGATATCCTATCTTTGCATCCGTCCATTTCCGCGGAAATTCCGCGATTCTTCCTCGATGGATCATTTTTTCTCGAGCTGGCTGATCTAAAAGGGGGGAGGGGGGATTTTAGTCGCGTTCGAGATACGTTTTTTATTTTTTAAAGTCGGTGGCAATAATCGAATGCGAATAATTCGATTATTTGTGGAAATTTCTATTCTTGAATCAATGCAGTTTGATATGCATATTCATTTTTCAGAGATTAATTTGAAATTCAAAAAGAAAAAATGACGTACGTATCAAAAGAATAATAAAATATATAGATTCGTTGAATTTTGATATAATTAATTTGATAAGGAAAATGGAATTCTGATACAATAGGAATTATGGTTCACGTTATAAAAAATATATAAAAAACAATAAAATATATTGAAATTATTATTATTATCTAAATTGCAGAGCTCAAAATTCATTTTTCCAATTCAGTTTGCAAATTATCTATCATTAATCAAAAATTATGCAGAGTGTAATCAAAGTGATTCAAAAATTCTATTAACTACATTGATCAGAAGGAGAAGAAACAATGCTAATTATAAATTGCTGTTCCAAACAAGATAGATATCTAAATAAAATATCAAATATCATCTGGACCACAGAGCATAAAATTTATTTTTCCAATTATTTACCCATCAATTAAAAATTCCTCGATCATTTACATCAAGTACATATATCAGAAACAATGTTAATTGTAAGTTGCAATTTGAAACAAGAGGAGCATAAATCGATATCAAACACCATCTGGAGCGCACAATTCAAAATTCATTCTTCCAACCCGCTTCTTAACCAAATTATCCAATCGCCAATTCACCTCGACCACTTACGATCATCGAGTATATCGATCGGAAGGAAACAAAGTTAATTGTAAATTGCGATTCCAAATGAGCCGTTAATCGCGAAGAGGGGAAGAGAGAAGTCTGTTGGAAGCGGTCTCCACGAAGGGAGAGGCCTTCGCGATATTCCGGTGGTCGTGGTATCAAGGGTTAAATCTCTGGCGGCCTCGTTTTTACGGAGCCACTGGGAGCCCAGCGTGCAGATAATACCGACAAAGTCAAGGCTAGTACGCACGATCGTGCGCATGAAAAGAGGACCCTGCTAGAAGATGTAACGAAGTTTCAGAAAAGACCAATGATTTCGGGATCAATAATATCGCGCGTACGTACAAAATAAGAATCGAAATGGGCAAGGCCGACGGATAGACGAGCGTGCATTTCGGTGGATTTGTTTAGAAACGACACTTAAACGCGTGCAGAAAAACGGTATAGGTTATGGAAAATTATTGTTTTCGCTGTTTAATGAAATAGTTCGGTATTTGGCCGATAGAGGCGTCCGAGTTAGTGATTCGTTTCGCGAAGAATCGTTTCGAAGTGTGTGCATCAATTTTGTGTGATTCGAAGTTTTTGTAGATCACAGAATTTATACAATTCATTCGTTCATTCGAAATTCGGATCAAATTTAGTTAATCCTTATTAGGAATAATTTTCTAAAGGATAGTTACATTCGTATCTTTGTTAATCTACATGCAATATGAGACGAGTAAATGTAAACTGTCTTACCTTTAAAAATTCCCTATTTAACCTATCTTTAGAACATACTGATATGTATCAATCATTCATCTTGACAAATTAAACCAATTTTAAATGCGTAATAAAGAAATAGAACTGTGAACCGTAAAAATAACATCATGAAACAATCCTTTAATATTTCCCTGTATCTTATTAAAACAAAATTCCTATATTTCATTTCGTTACGTTATATTCAGTACGTTTCTTTCTAAAATGAACGAGTAACGAGGAAAATCCTTGAGAACGAGAAATCTTGATTCGGAAAAAAACGTGTGACACGCGTCTATGGACGAACTTGTCGGAGGAATCGAGGAACCGACGGGTTGGCCAAGCCAAAGCAATAATAAGCCATAAGCGCAGCCTGTGCATAGAATGCTGGGTAATGAGGTGGAGTCGAGAGCGGAGTCTGGAGCCGCACCCTTGCCTTTACCTTCCCCGACCCACCTATCCCCGAACCCAACGAATCAACGGACGAACGACGGCGACTAGGATCGCGAGGACGAGCAACGAGGAACAAGATTACAACATTATTACACTGCGTGGATTTCGAGAGAGAGAGAGAAAGATAAATTATTATATTTATGAAAATGCACGCCGGGTGTACGAAGGTGGAATCGCGGTTGTGTTTACGGAGGTGGGACCCCTCGAGCGCCGACCACGTTCCACCAAAGAGTTCGTTTCAAGAGAGAGTGAAGAGAGAAAGAGAGAAAGAGAGAAAGAGAGAGAAGGAACTTTTGTCCCTCTTGATCGCTGGTCTGCATTGCACCACGCCTGTACAGCTTCGATCAGAAGTGACGGGTGCGATCGAGCCTCTCGAACGAAAGTTTCCAGGTTGATCTCGTTCAGAATTTGATGTCCTTAAGACGTTATAGGCACACTAGTGTGAGAATGTGAATGTTCGAAGAATATATATAAACGTACGTTTAAATCGTTTAATAATTTCAAGATTTGAACATCTTGAAGATATGGATTTGAGAAGTGTGAGAAAATACAGTTTTTGGAAAATGAAAATGTGTTTGTATTAAATGGATTTTAATTCTTTAATTACAATTGTATTATTGATTGATTGGTGTAATACAATTATTAAAGTATCGATAGAAACTGTTACAAAAATATAAGGAAAGGAAACAATTGTTTACTGGTTGATTTTTCAAGAGATACTTCGCAAAATATTATTTGTTCAAGAAACCATTGCTTCAAATTTTATTTATTTCATTACAATGTATTCGAGTTTGTTTTTGATTGATGCACATTTTCAAAATATTGAAGGAGATCGTTGATTATACTGTAAGTTAAAACCATCATTTTTTTTTCTTTTATATCAGAGAATAATAGACGAATATTATAAAGAATAAAAATTTTAGTATAATTTTTTTCCCAAACAAGTGGTAACTTTAAATTTGGACGTATGCACAAAGATTACTAGAAATCTTCCATTTACTATTCTTTTAGGTTATGTATGTTTCGATTAATGATTATATTTTCAAATCGATATCAATCTTATCCGAACATAATTTACAATATCAATCCTATTTTTCGTATTACACACTCTACATAATGTTCTTTCACGTAGCAAAGATAATTTTCAAATCTCTAAGTTCTTCACGATCAAATCAATCGTAATCGTTAGCACCAACGACTCGTCTCTCGAACCATCGTTCCCGTTCTTTCACTTACATCAATATCCCATTAACGATGAAGAGGCAGATGAAAATTCAAACGAGAATGAGA